TCCAAGGAAATTCAGCTCTTCTCTTCCAAAACAGGAGCACAAAGGAATTAAAAGATTCAAAATAAACATCTGTACTAGCGCAAACGTAAAACATCCCATCTTACAATCTGTGTCAACAGTTTGCTGCTAAGCTCCCGTTTCAGATAGCAGAACAACATGGGTTAGTGATACTGCATTGGCATCAAAAGATTAAAAGGAAAGTCAACCTTTAGTACAACAGGAAAAAATCATTTAAGACATGTACATAAACTTGTTCTCTTGCAATTTGTCATTTAACATTTTAGAAGGAAAAAAAAAAAAACTGCATCTAGATTTCACATACTTAGGCCTCCCAGTTTTCTATATCCTCTGCCATAATTCAAATGTTGTTGAGATGGTGTCCTCAAATTTTTCTTCTCTTTTCTCTTAAGCAAATTTCAGATCAAAGCCACTCAGTAAAGTCCCAGCCTTGAAACTTCACTATCATCTTGCAAGCTTAAAAACATCAAGGTATTTAGAGGCATCATATTTTCTACCCTTAGTGACTACAGCCTCTCCAAAGTGTATTGCTTTCCTTCACACTTGGGCAACACAGCAAAATGAGGACTGTAGTAAGATTTAAGCAAGTTTAGCAATTGAACAATACTCACATGAGAGAATTTTACACAGTACATGCAAGAGATTTATAGCAGAGACTGAAAGGAAAAAGCTGCACACATTCTCCAATTTATTTCGAGTTCTAGACTAATGCATATCAAAAGTCTGCTCTGTTTTTAGTGCAGTTCTGAAAACTTTTAGCAGGAACAGCAAATTTTACACAACTTTTGAGAAAACAGCAAAACAGACAGCATTTAACAAAGGCATGACTCCTCTCCCTTGACCCAAACATCCTTGTCAGATACCTTTCCAATGAAGAAGTTTGCTGTCAACCAAGGGAAAAGAAAGGGTAAGTGCAGAAAGGGAAGCTTGATTTTAAACTATGAACTACAGGTTATTCAACTGGTTTTTTTTTAAATAAAAAATAAAACAACTGCACAAACACAAAGATGATCAAGAAGCCGTGCAAAGAGTAGAAACAGTTTTCTAAGGCAAAGGACTGCATTACTGAAAGATCAGTGTATTATCTGCTTCTCTGTGCTAGATGGAAGTCAAAAGCAGTCTGAGATGGTAATGCTCCCAACAGAACTATTACTGGAAAAGGAATTTCTTAAAAAGGATCTAAATTCAGACATATCCAAGAAAGCTTGTGGACTGAACAAAATATAAAATCATTTGTTTTGTTTAAAGGTTTTAAGTGTAATAGATGTTATGTTTTGAGGAAAGATGCAACTCATTGGCAGTTCCTTTTCCTAAAGCGATAAACAGAGATCAGTTATTTTGGCATAAGTCTCTATATATTAATGGCACATGCTCTGGCTTAGACGGTCTAGTTTCACACAGAAAGAAGGCAAGTATCTTCTTCACCATCAAAGCCAGCAGTCACACTTAAAGTTTGGGACTCAGTTACACATGGTAAGCAGCATTTAACCTTCCTTACTCCCAACTCATCTTCCCGTTACCGATTTACTTACCATGCTTATCAGAACTAAAGCGTACCACTCCATCGAAAGTTACGCTGACCTCAATTGACTTTTCAACTTAAAGAATCACTGCACAACATAAAATGTTGTGAATCCATTGGCTGGGCAATACTCTTCTCTAGATTTTGCATCATTTGAAAGGGAGGGTGACACCAAAAACCCTCAAGTAAAATTTTATGGTGCAGTGAACAAAAGAGGATAAAAGTTAGAAATAATCTTGCAAGTTAGTAGCCAAAACTACTTTTTACAAAGCAAGAGGTTTATAGTGAGCTATGACATTCCTTCTCTACCACAGTGCAGAATGCTTCATTTCAACATTTAAGTCAAACGCAAACCAGCGCCTATGAAGTAACAATGGTGTGGGAGGGAAAAAAAAGTTGTTTTCCACATTTTTTTTTTAAAAAAACAACTATGACTAGACTCAGAAGTACTCCTTTCTTTCAATACTTTTGTTAATTCAGATAGAACTAACTGAGAAAGCACAGTATATGCATCGAAGTCTCAACGGCTCAGTAAGTGAAATGTGTGACTTGAGCCACAGTTACATTCAGAATTTGAATTATATACTTTATCAGGGATAATTAAGAAGATATTTCCCCATTAACCAATTTGAAAAGCTACTTCCTTGTTTCAAAGGCCTCTGGATTTCCTTCACACACATGCACACACACACATAAAAGAAAAAGTATGTATAACAGACCAGACTACAGAAGTCTTTTTTGCAATTTCCTGAAGATATGTCTGGCCAATCTATACTCATATGATTGTTACCAAAAGAAAACAAACAAACAAGAAAATAAAACTCCAGATTCACACATCAAACCAGAAATAAACAGGGAATTGAAAGAAAAAAAAAAACAATAAAAAACATCAGAAAGTCACCACTTCAGTCTAAAATCTGATATCTACAATTCCATTTCTTCTTCTGCACACCCAGGGATCCCCAAGCTATCATACAAATTTGGAGATACTACAGTCTGTTGCAGTTCAGGGAATGAGTCAGTCTGTGGGTGAAAAGCAGCTCCGGGTGATGATTGCTTAGCTTGACACCCTTCTGTATTCTGCTGCTTGAAGTTCTTGACAGAAACAGTTGTCAGTTTGTCTGTGAGAAATTCAGGAAGAGGTTTCCAAAGCACCAGCTCCATAGAAGGACGGCTCCTAGAAGAGATGGAACCATAGTTTAATTAAAGTTCTCCAATCACAACTACAAAATGCAGAAGACCAGTCAGTATCTTCATCCTTTGTTCTAACCTGGAATTACATCTCAGAAGGCACACACCAGGTTTTTCCTATTAAATTTTCTTTTCCTTAACTAATTCCATTACTTTGAATTCTAACCCTGCATTCAAGAAAAAAAAAAAAAATCCATTGCACCAAATTTGGTGACCTCTGTTGGTCGCACTTCAGACCTGCTTCTTTTGGAAGCTCACGTACATGAAGAGTAGGGTGTGTGTGTGTGCACTCAGCATACTTCACTCCGTACAAATGAAGAGTACAAAACAGACATCTTGATGACCACTAATTACACGTACTTCTCTTTTGCATTAAGATAATTTTCCTATTTTTGACCCAATGAATGGTGTGTTATACAATAAGGACATCTCCACAAATATAAGAGATTGGATCTCTCTTAATTTGCATGTGTTAGCTACATAGCACCATGATTTCCTCAAGAACTTACATAGATTCTATTATTTTCTTTGTCAGGACTTCACCAAAATCCCTCTTCATCCCTTTTTTAAGGGTATCTGACAGGATAAGAGTGGGCAGATTGCTAATATTTCCATCAGCATGAACTTCCTCATCTTCATCAATTATCCTAGGAATGGAGGGGGGAAGAGGGAAATAAACACCTTTGAGAATACTGTTAATAGGCATATCCACTGCAGACTACAATTTTATCTATGTGCACTGCATTGTACAGTGTATATAATAACCCAGGTTGGGTACCAGAAGCAGCGGGGCTGTGTTAACATGAATCTCCTTTGGGCCAATTTAACCTGAGAATGAGTATGACAATAATGCCACTTGAGCAGCTATGCCACTTCTGGTACCTGAAATAGCTTTATTATCTCTGCATTGTCCAGCAGTGCAATGCAGACATACACCAGGAGAAAGAAAATAAGCTCACTTCAAGGGAAAGGGTACAATCAGTCAAATTACAAGAACAAATCTTAGTTATGCTGGAGCTTAGCTTTTTCAACTCCCCATGCCTTAACCCTTAGAACTACGGAAAAGCTATCCAAAACAGTTAAAGTTTTTGTGTCATTGTAATCTCAAGAGAAATTGATGCAATGTCCTTAAAGGTTAAGCATTTAGAACAAACTTAAGGCAACTCCTTTGTGTTTTTTTAAATAGATTTTTATAAAAAAAAATAACAGAGTTAGCTGAAAGGTATGGAGAACAATCATCAGAGATCCAAAGCAAACTCTGTAATACAGATATAACCAGATGGTACTGATTTGTCACAAAATATTAAAAGTACAGCAACAGTACCTTGCATCCTTCCCAGCATCGCCTATGGTGTAATCACCTAAAAACAGCTTTAGTTGTGTAATTTTGAGACTTTTCTAATTACTGCTTGTAGGGGTCACATTTTGGAAAACACACACGACATTCTCAGGACCTCTAAAAGGCAGAAGCTGAATGCACAGTACAATTACTAAGTGGCTGCTCAGTGCCACCTCCTAATCCCAATATGAAGCCACCTGACATTTAACTACAAGAGGAACCTGAGCCTTACTGCATGCATGCAGAAAGATCTCTCTGGCTCCTGCTATTCTAACAGCAAACAAACTATCCTGAGCACCTAGAAGAATTAATTAGAAATAGTTGCAATTGGCAGAGAAAACCAAGCTCAAACCTAACCAGACTACATCAGTTAAAGTTTGAGCTCTGGACACTCACAGAAGAGCATACAAAACCCATCCATATGGTGTTAAAGGATAATTTTAAAATAGCTAGTTATTTACTTAGCATCTCTTGCTCTATAACGCTCAAGCTCAGCTCATAGTATTAAACCCAAAAGGCCTAAGACTCTAGGAATCTTAAGAAAATTCACCTGAACAAAAGGTTAATTTTAGACTTACAGCTATCACAATTCTCAGTGCTAATTACCCCTGAATGCCCAGCAAAACAGGGAAAGCTCAGAAAAGTCCATCTACTCCATCCCTGCATTTACCTGTCCTCAATCTCCTGAAGCTTCCTGCGAGCAACCTCGCATTGCTGTTCCCCCATTGTCTGATCCATTTCTTCACCGGGATTTTCTAACATAGCAGCTTCAGGGCGGCTGCCACCATACTGACTTGCTACCTCCCCAGCTGCCTGCTGACCTGCACAGAGAATCCATTCTTCAGTGCTGGGATTCAAAGGGGAAATTTTGGCTCCTGTCAGTCTCTTCTTCTTCACGGGACAACTAGGAAACAAAACCAATTTACAATTGACAAAAAAAGAAACCATACTGCGAATCATTTCACATATTTTACAGGAAAAGAATAATCAAACAAACAAAAAAACCAAACTTTAGAAAGTCACATGCATTACAATAGATTTTGGAAAATTAAATCTCTTTTTCCAAAAGCACATAACCAAACATTCCTCTTGCTAAAATGCAGAATCCATGAAAGAGAAAGAAGAAACAAGCAAACAAATCAATGCTACACAAGTAATAAGGTAAATTTATCAGTGTCAGCAATTGGAGAGAAGAGTTACAAACAAAAACAATCATAGAGGTCCCCTTCATATGCATCCTGTAGATGAGATGCACTGAAAACCTTATAGAAAACAAAAAGTAAATTAAGACCTTTCAGGATACAGAAGACAAATGTATTTTACCCTTCTGTCTCCTCTTCTAGTTTATGCTTCTTTCCACAGCGAACAGAGATACTGCAAAGAGAAAGCAAATAGTTATTTGGCTGGTAATTATATCTTCCAGGGACACTGGAATTTCTAAATAATACTGTTCTCCCTTTGAAGAGTTCACTCACAGCTTCAACAATGCTAACTCTTAACATGTCACCACCCGAGAAGGGAGTAGACAATAATTTTGCACAATAAGTGACCAGTACTCTCTGAAGAAAGTCACAGAAGAGTGGAATTATTCAGTTACTCCAAGATGCATGATAATTTCTCTTCCTGCACAGTATTTACTTTTTCCCTTGGATGCAAGACTGATTCTTCCTAAAACTCAAATGCTTCAACAAGTAACATCTGATCCAGCTCCAGTCCCTAAACACGCTCACAGTCACACGCTCAACTTAAATGTGACAGAACAAAGCAATTCTGCACCACATTTCTGTCCCCATACAAACACTTTGAGTTCACCTATGGAAAACTGCAAGTGCAGTAAAATACAAGACCTCGTGGGCACGCCGAACTCCAGGCCAATACGGCCACATCTCCTTCCTGCTCACGAGGCTCCTTTGCCCCCTCTGTAGCGTCCCAGACTGCAGCGCGGCCGGGGGTGGCTCCGGCAGTGCCAGGACTGCCCGGGTCCCGCGCTGTCTGACGGGGAACCCGAAGCACCGAGGCGGTCGGTACTTACGGGCTGCGGGCACGCGGCTGCAGCGGGCCGGGCGGGCGCTGGGCGCTGCTGAAGGGAGGCGCG